GACGATTTCGTGGAAATAACATTTGAAATACCTTACAAGGAAAGCCAGGCACGGTTAAATAAGGAAATATTATATTGGGACGCAGTGTGGGATAGATGGACCATCAGAAAACAATTGATAAAAGAGGGAAAGGATTTGCCGAAAGTAATTGACTCGTTAAGTGAACGGGCAAGGGAAGCAGCGAGGCACGATCCACGATGGGACTATAGGGACCATGAACAGAAACATCAGCCCGGGTCATATATGAGGTATAAAAGTCCTGAATCACCGAGAGGACGCCTCTATTTTCCTGCGCCCATGCACCTTAACTGGTTTCACGTCTTGGAAAGGAAAGAAAGCTTCTCCAGTGAAGTTTCTTCAGTTAATTAACCCACGTTAATGAATTCAGGGATCAACCAAGGCACATACAATACAGAGCGCCCACGGCGGTGGAACAAAAAGTCAAAGCACGCGCGTTATAAAAGGAAAATAAAATAAAAATGAAGAAGGGATGGGCTTCAAGAGTCTGGAAGCGTGCGGTCGGCTGTTGCACACGGGCAAGGAGAGGCTGGAAGAACTGGCGATCTGATCAGTGGAGGAGCAGAAAGGGTGAAGAGTTCCCCCTTGAAGAAATGGCTGAAACGATCGTCAATGACCCGCCAACACCCGAACAGGTACAACAAGTAACCGGCAGACCGCCAGTAGTGGAATGCCCGGATTTTACATATCGGTATGCAGTACGGGATGTGATGGCAGTACATGGTCTATCCGAAGGACTTGCTATGATCCACATAGACGACTACATAGCCAATGGACAGGACTGGAGGGAAGCGTGTCAGATACACACCAGAAATATATGGGTGTAATAATAAAAATGTTGTATTTGGACTCGGAAGAAAGGTATAAAATGACTTAGAATGATCCCACAGCACCAGAAAGACCCCCTGAAAGCGGACAAGACTAGTCTACAAAGCATGAAGACTACTCTATACACGACGATCGCAGTAATCCTGGGCCTGATCATAGTGTTAGCAGGCTGGCGCTACAGATTAACACCCAAAAAGGACAAGGAACCGGAACCGGAGAGCCCATTAACATCCGATGGAGAAGAACCAGAGGCGGTTCATAGGAATATGGAGAATCGAGAGAAATCAAGCTCTCAGGAATCGTTGGGGGACCGGTATCTACTCAAGAACCAAGGGAGGAAGCCAACGGGCAGGCAATTCTACGTATCCTGCAACCCTTCTCACCCCTACTAAACCAATGGAAGGAGGAAGAGGAGTAACATCCCCTTTATTGCCTTTCCGGGGGCAGGAAAAGCCAATCGATAAATTCCCGGACTCCGTGCGTAGATCCCAATGTACTCTAGCATTAAAGTAAACAAAACCAGGGATAAGGTAGAGACGAGTAATGTCTCATCGGCCCAGAAACAATTGAGTAGCAATCGGGGGATACACAAGTAAGACACAAGGAATCGATCAAAGAGGGCGCAAGATCCAAATAAATGGAAAACCCGAAGATGACTTGCCAGTGAGACAAGCCATGAAGTCAGCAGGGGGAGGAGTCATGGGAAAATCGGAGAACCCCAGTAACAGCGGCGATCTAAGATCGGAGTGCGTGCCCAAAGGGAAAAGCCGAAGGAGGATTTGGTCTAAGGGAACAGCCAGGAGAATTGAGACGTTGAGCTATGATATTGAAGACCAAACCAGAGCAGATATCATAAAAGGACGAGCAGAAAGGAACAGGGAAGTGGAACGGAGAGATGAGGCTGCGGATGGACTGCCTCATGGTCATTGGAAAGATGGGGGGACAAGACACAACCCACGAAGGGAAAGCTCAGAACCCCAGAGTACCAATGGAGGATGGAGTATACAGAAGCAAAAATATATATAAATCAGAGGAGGACAAAGACAACTTAGCTAGAGTCCTGCCCCCTCAGAATAATCCGAACTAGCTTATATCTGAATATGTCTACTGTCCAGACCGCCAAATCGCCAGTCTCCCTAGTCAAGCGAGGTCAGATGGAAGGTTGGATTCCGAATCACGTCGTAGCAGCAGGAGCAATCACAACCTTGGGAAGGTGACAATCCTGGAAACAGATGAAATGTCCACTAGTGCTGATAGCCACAGATCGGACTCCGAGCTTGAATACTTGATTGAAAGGGTGAGGAATAACCTTAACCAGCGACAAACAGCGGACAGGGTATTATTGGAAAGGACGGGGGGAATTCTGGAAGAGTCCCGCCTACAATCCGATAGTAAGCACGTGAAGACAAAGACAGAGGAAGTTAAGATAACCCAGATAGCCGCTGTAGATACGGATTCAGAAGATTTACAGGACGCGGAATTACAGTATCCCGAAAGTAGTATTGCAGAGTATGCATATAACTGGACGGACCCCCCATCAACCAAGTGGTGTCGGTACCCCATAATTCACCGGAACCCACCTGGGGACCTACCCGATCTTCTTATGTACCCCGCGTTGGAACCACGGCATCCCCAGCATTCGCCAAACTACTTAAAGAAAAGATGTGCACAGACTACGACCAAGGTTACCCCAAGGGCATCAAGTTCGTAAGCGTCTTACTCAACAAACACCTAACACAATTGGAACGAGACTTAGACAAGACCTGGAGAACTACTCAAGAATGCACGTCGCTAATTCAAGATGAGATTGCGCTTCGAGAAAATCCGCACAGAATGGGAACTTTATTCAAGTTGCACGAGACAAGGCCGTTGGTACAAGACCTGGAAGAAGTCATAGAATTAGTAATAGGGAGGATTATGTTGGAAGCCGCTATCTGCAATGACCATGGAACGGTAGATTACATCGACAACAATCTACGTCAAGCATGGGGACAACTTCATCATTTTCTCCATCTATCCCTCGAACATCTAACTATACCCCGCAAGGAACGCCCTCTCGAATTTTACCACATTTTCCAAACATTCGTATACGAGAAGCTCCGAGAGTTCGATCCCGAAACTACGGAGGAATTGCAAGTAGCCATGGAAATGTACCGATCGGACCAAGATGTGTTGTTTGCCGACGAAACCTGGCCGGTTGAGCGAAGGGAAAGATATTGGAGGTAGCTATGAGATGACTGGATGTGAAAACACTCTCTCTCCCAATCACACTACCGCCCAATCAACCCCGAATTATCTTCCGAATACATTCTTTGTACTACCACTAGGTCTGAATACGAAACACTTTCGCGAAAAGATTGAGACGAGACTTAAAGCAACCTTATGCAAATATCCAATAAACAATCTTAAGAAAAGATATTGATAAAAAGATAAGAGAAACAAGGTGATTGAAAAGGGGATTGCAAGGGACTGCAATAGACCCGCTGTGCCTGTTTGTAGGAGAAATAACGGCCACACTATGGAAACCCATTATGGAAATATGCCAGATAAATCACAAAAACCTCATACGACAAGTAGATATGAGAAAATAGAAGGACCTGAATTTTAACGAATTTTACGAATTTTTACGAATTATTATGACTATACACGATAAATCGAAAGAAAGAAAAATAGCAAAAATACTTCAAGCTTACTATCAACGAGACGGAATTCTCGGGGGAATTTATAGCAAATATTAAACCAAGAATTAGGACAATCGAGCAAGATTTGACTATAAAAATAATCAGAGAACCTCCACGGAAACTACTTTCCCACGTCCGAACACGTAGCCAAGGATGGAAGTACCACGGAATGAAGATTCCTCAGGAACTAATGCAAAAGTCAGAGTCGTGTTTACAATAGGAAATGTAGATGTCCTCCAAACGGAACCAATGAGAGTAATTACAGGGGAAACTACCTATAAACGATGGAGATATGACTAAAACTCCTGCAAAACGAGGACAATGTCTAAAAGGCAAGCGCGAAGATTAACTAGTAACGACCGAGACAAGCTTGATAGCCCATTAGAAAGGAAGGGATCTAATCTTAATCCTCCCAAATTTTCATAATAAAAGGATCATGCGTTAATAAGATATCCAATAACGGGAATAGCGACATCAAAAGTCCGAGCTCAGGGAAAAGACGATGTTTGCGTAGGATCCATAATTAAAACATACAACGAAATTTACACGGAAATTATTAAAAATGGGGAACTATAGTTATGCAAATTTTCAGCCCAAACGGTCCAGCCGTTGTGAAGTTATACCCATGACGGGAATATAGAAATCCGCATCATGTGTAATGACACGTGAGGGTGGCGATGCGCAGGGAACCGGCCGTCGGAACCGAGATCCGCACTTCGGCAGATCGCGAAGACCAATTTCCGTCCAAATAAGGAAGAGCCCGGTCAAACAAAGCACGGAAAGTGCAAAACAACCTTAGATCATGAGGGAAAAATCTGAAATAAATCACAGAAGCCCATATGAAAGAAATAAAAACCCGTGCATATCATAAATCCCGAACAATTAAACAGAAATGGTGCCCGCATATGAACGACTATGGGAATGACGCACATGATTACCGAATGTGCACGCGAACCTTTGCTAACTCAACGAATACCAGGAAATAGGACACAACCTTAGTACCATTGGAAAGGTGGGAATAAATGAAAATTTATGATACCAAGAACGTGAGAAAACATCCAGAAATGAATGAGATACAAGGACATGAAGTTAGAAACCAGAAAACGCGCGGGAAAACAGCTTCAAGAGGTCCAGAGTCCTAAATAAAATACATAAAAATATGATATCTTCAAGGACGACCTACTATAACAATGAACAATACATATGGAGGATTAGGATGTGATAATACAAAGGGGAATCAGGGAATATGAACGAAATTCACGAAAACCACTAAACTACGACGGACCATGGCGGGAATTTTAGGGAACGATATTCTAATGAGGTGGAGAGCTATAACACATTCATTTGAGTAATTCTTGACTACTAGCAACTTTTACTTTCAGTTTTAAACCTGAATAATTCACTCATTTACCATTTCAGTCTCATTTTAACTAAATGTCACTAAATAAAAATGGAATAAATCAGCTGAAGGTCTCAGCACAGCCGTACGCATAGTAATGCGAAGTTTGAATTCAGAATCATCGAGTCATTGTCAGGGACTCGTCCGGGGTCGAGGGGGTCCGGGTATAGCGTCCGGGACCGAGAGCCTGGCGGTGTCAGGATACCGAGCTGCTCGGAGCTAAGGTTAAGAGATCCAGTGGAAGTGGAGGTAAGACTAGGAAGGTCTGGGTCGGTCTCAATAGGAGAACCGCGAGGTGTGCTAGGTGACACAGGCTCCAGCTGAGCAGCGAGGGGAAATGAGTCATATTCCAGCCACTATGTTACTATGTACAACATACCTGAGCAGCGAGGGGAAATGAGAGAAGAAAGCTGGTCTTCCTGCTTGCTACTCAGGGTGTAATATACTGTAGCCTACACACACAGCTAATCTATGAGGCACTGTACATACCAACAATCAATGATCCAGGTTTGTCTGGCTGTGTTGGATCATGGATCATGGAACATGGATCTTGGAGTGGGATCAGATCATAAGGCTGTACAGGGATCATGGATCATGGAATCTGGGTGATCATAGATCATGGAATCAGATCATGATGGTAAGTAGGCTGGAAGTGGCTGGAAGTGGGTGTACTCTGACAGGTGGGGGGCGGATCGGGCGTGCGTACTGACAGGCCCGATGTGGGACAGTGGTCCCTGGCCACTTAGACTGAAGTGGAAAGTTGAGAAGAAGGCTACTTCTTCGGTTCCCACTTCAGGTTCGTTTATATACATGCGGCTTGGATCACATGATGGGTGCCACGTCACCCTCGCACACAGCCGTAACCACCCGGGTGTCTCCGTGGGAGATCCCGAGGGTATCCGGTGCAGGCGCGCGTGCTGGGCACAGCGGGAAGTCGCCTGAGGTGCCCAGGCCAGGTACATGGTGGGCGCGCTGCAGATGGGTCAGTTGTACATTGATACAGAGAAAGTCGTCCATGTAGAATAAAGGGAGAATAAAGGAGAAGTAAGATAAGGAGAAACTGAGGAGGGGAGGATGAGGGGGGAAGAAGGGAAAGGGGGAGGAGGTAAGGAAGGGTGGACCGGCGGGGTACCGGGTCAGGTTGGGCCAGGTGGAGCCAGGTCAGGCGGGTGTGCCCTGACAGTCATAGCAAATTTAATGGTATATATAGGGAATTTGAAATAGGTAACTGCAGCAAATGCAGCGCAGCCAAGTTCTAATTAACCATTAAAATAGCTTAGGCGAGGGAGGACAATAAGGATTCTAGGTGCAGTCTGACCGCAGTAGAACCGCAGTTCAGCGCAGCAAAAGCGCAGTAGAACTATAGCGTGAAAATTTCATTTTTTATTCAGTTTGAGAAAAATACACTGTAAATAAATCCTGTAAATAGAAGGTAGAGTGTGAAAAAGGAAGGTGACCCAAGGAGTATAAAAGGGAGACCCTTTCTGCGACTTTTCGCCCCCTCAGAGAAGTAAGAAAATAGAGTATTATTTTTCTCAAGCATTTCTGGTTGTCACTCCAGTGCGAAAAAGTGATATACAGTTAAGATTGCCACTGTAGTAAAAGGCAGCAATAAAGGAGAGAAATATTAAGTAGATATTTCAACAGGAGAGCTGGTTTACACTCCAGATTTCAAAGTGTAAACACAAAACAGTTATTTTGCTACTGTTAAAACAAGCAATAAAATAAGACAAAAATAAAACAAACTCAAGGGACACTCCAGACACAATCCAAATCCATTAACTGATTAGAATCTTTGAAACTTCACCAAGTAGAAGATTAAATCCAAATTAAAACAACGCTACACAGAATTACACCTAGACAAATTAAGAAATTTCAATAAAGAAACAGCTCCGCAGGGCTCGGTTTATCTGTAAGTCAATTCCCAGGAACTTTAAAACTAACCCATAAAAATAGAATTAGCCAAAACACTCGGATTGGTACTATATTTACAATAAATAACACTAATACACTTCCCCATCCTAACTAAAGAACCAGGGAACAGCTTGGTGGTGGTCTCGTTTGAACCTCCCAACTGACCTTCCTTCGTTCTCTCCTTCAGCGCTCATGGTGGCCGGCAGGAGGATGGGCAGTGGGACATGATGACCTTTTGCCGTACCCAGTCCACTTCCGGGTTGTGGTGCAGCAGCCACGAGTGCCCTATGATGAGGGACTGTCACCCGAGGTTTGCGACTGTGAAGTGGGCCCGCTCTGTATGGCATCCGAACGTCAGGAGGGCCTCTAATTCCTCGGTTATGGCCCCATTCTCGTTTGGGGTTCCATAGATGTTACAGACAGGGATGGGTTGGGGGAGTGGGGTGGTCTCAAGCTTGTGCCTCTGGATGAACTCAGGGCTCATGAATGCTGATATGGACACAGAGGCAAGGGAGGTCAGGGAGGTCAGCCTCACAGCAAGGTTGAGGGATCTCAGGGACCGTTTGGAGAGGACATAGATAGCAGGTGGGGACACTGCTACCTCTGGGGTCGTCTCTGTGGTTTCCTCATCCTTGCGGGCCTGGGGTGCTCCTTTTCTCCTTTTCTTTGCAATGACTTGATGAAGCTTCAGTGCTGGTGGCAGCTCATGCACATCATGGCATCTGCATGAGCTATCCCTCATGGGCGGCCGGTGCGCACCCCCCACAGGCTGGGTCTCCAGGTTCCCTCTTTGGTCCAGGCCTAGCCCTTTCCCTCTTGCTTCTGGTCCTTTTGTCACTTGGCCCTTCAGCCCCTTCATCAGCGTTTGAAGGTCTTCCAGGTGCAGGCGTCAGGTCTGGCAGGTCTTGGGGTGCAGGTTCATCTCTCGTCTGGGGCAGGTTACAGGGGTCGCAGGTGGGGCTGGTGGAGGGGGCCTGGGTGAGGCCGTGCATGGCTGCATCCTCTGGAAGTGCTGCCACTGGCTGTCAAGGAGCATGGCTTCACACTTCCATTTGGCCCAGGTGGTGGGCATAGGGCGGAGCTGGTAGATGCTCTTGTGGAGCCGGGAGTTGATTGCCCACTCGAAGTGGTCGACTAGCCCTACATCACCTAGCTGTGAGGTGGGCCCTAGTATCTCAAACTCCTGGATGAGCTTGTCCACGGGGTCACTTCCCTGTCGGATGGTAGCCAGCCTCTGCTGGGCTGTAGCCGCCCAGTTCAGGTCTTGGAACATGGCATCAAGTTCTGCGTTGAACTCATCCATGGTGGGTGTAGGGGAGCCCATCCTCAGTAGCGCCATGGTGCATTGCATCACCCATGCTCCTGCAGTCCCTCCCTTCATGTAGGAAGCATGAAGAGGACTTGGGAGAGGGTGCTGGGGAACTTGGCCATGCAGATGTAGAGATAGATCCCGCATTCGGCCTTGAAGCAGTCAAGGTCCTTGCTGACTCTTGAGAAGGGGGTGGGGGGGGGGGGTGACCTTGGGTGGTCTGGGCACATGTGCGGGTGCATGCATGGGCTGGCCCTGGGCTTGGGCTATCACAATGGCCTGTAGTTCCTGGAACTGGGCCAGCAAGTCATCATACTGTTCTTGCATCACCATGGCAGGGGAGGTGGGGGGAAATGGGGTTGAAACCTTCTTCTGCTGTCAGGGACCGACCTGGGGTCAAGAGCATCTGTGTGTATTGCCTGGGGCTGAGGGTGTGACGCAGGCATGCATAACAACGGGCCCGAAGCAGACAAGGGTCCCTGGCCACTTAGGCTAAAGTGGGAAGTGTGTTATTATTATTAGCAGGGGGAGTGTAAGCTACTTGCCTAAAGTGGGAAGTGTGAGACAAAGGTTGCTTCTCAGTTCCCACTTAGGCTGTGTTTATATACATGTGGTTAAGGCCACATGGGAAGTGCCACGTCATCTATGCACACAGCCACATCCATCTGGGTACCTCCGCAAGAGGTCCCAGGAGCGTCCAGTATGCAGGAGGTCATCTGGTGTGTCCGGGTCCGGGCGTGTTGCACTGCAGCCGGGTCAATGGTACATTGATACAAAGGAAGTTGTCCGTGTGATAAGAAAAGAAGAAAGGGGAAGAGAGGAGAAGAAAGAGAAGAGAAGAGAGAAGGGAGAAGGGAGAAGAGTAAAAAGGGAAAAGGGGGGAGGTCGGGAGGAGCGGATGGTGGGGCACCAGGTCAGGTGGGGCCAGGTCAGGCAGGTGTGCCCTGACACACACCCACTCCACACCCCATGAGGGCCTCAGTCCCGGGTGTTGCATCTGGGCCCCCTTGACCCCGGACACATCCCTGACACTGTTGGCCCCTTTGATGTTGAGGGCGGTGATGTGGAGGTGGCCAGATGTGGCTGTTGGGCTGTTGCCTCCATGCAGGTGGAGTGGTTTGTGTGGGGTTTTGAGTCTGTTTTCCAATTCCTGGTGCCTGTCATGGGGTTTTGGTAAAACGGTACAAACCCCCGCCCTCTGGGCACTGGGGGCTGTGACCAGTCGACCAGTTGAGTGTTTGCCAAGTGATTGGGCTTTGGAGGTTTATTCTTTCTACAGGCATTTTGGGGTTCTTCGAGTCAGTTGCCAGCTGGGGTTCGAAGTGGGCTTTCCTGTCTCCCATGGGCTCAGTAAATGTGGGCTCAGTAGGTGAGGGTTTGGTGTGCAGTGTTGGGATTTTTTCGGGATCTTTGCAGGGTAGTTGTCATATCCATACAACTCCGGACCTCCGCTCCTGTTCTGGACCTCCATCTCCTCCCCCAGAACTCCACATCCTCCACCTCCTCCTCCCCCTGTTGGTTATTGAGAGCCCACTCTACCTCTGGCTCCAACACAACATCCAACACTACCTCTGGTCCAACTCCGGTTTACTCTGGGTCTGATCCCAACCTTGTACCTTCCAGACCAGAGATTGCGATGCTCCACACCTCCGGCTCCGGACTCCTGTACCGGAACCCCATCGCACCTCCACCTCCGGAACTCTGGTCACACCTCCAGACTTTGACCTCCTCCTCCATCTTATCTCCTTGTATTCCTTATTACATTTCATTTATTATGTCTTGCCAATATTTCGGACTTAGACTTCCGACTCCGGACCCTGCAGTCTCTACTGTATGGTGCCATTTAATCCTCTTGTTACCTCTTCCTTATTTAGACAGCTGCTTCCTTTCCATATTAGTCAGCTGTCATTCCCCTCAACCCCCCTCCACTCCTTCCCCTCTTGGCCTTGCCCTTTTGGGAAGCACCATAGAGTTCCAACCCTTGACCCTTGGGGTTGTTCCCTCATCCAGTCCCCCTTTGTCTCCTTTCAGTTCCCTTTGTTCCCTTTGGGTCCTCTGACTCCACTCCTGTATTATATATATACACTCTGTACTTAGTTTCCTGTACCCCCAGTCTGAAATTGACGACCATGACGACTGGATTGTCCCCCAAAGAGACTCCCCCTGCTAACCTGAAGTTAAGGACCACCTTAGACAACAAGCAGTGGCACAGTGCTCCACTTGAGTCACTGAGGCCAAGGTCCCTCCACTCCTGAGTCCCTTCTCCACTTCCGGACAACTCCACCCGCTCATCTAACAGTAGTGGAGGTTGATGG